CTCGTATTGTCTAGCCGGCGGGAATTTTCGAGCGCGCCTGGAGCAATATGAGTGGGAGCAACATTCGGGTATAAAAGCCGGGAATTTTTAGACATGAGAAGCTTTTTCCTCAGCATCAAGCTCAGAAACCACGTGTCCGCTCCAGCAAACCGACTGTGCTAAAGCAACAAGGAGTCAAGCGTTCTTGGTCTCTCTTTGAGAGTTCTCCAATAGCACAGGCCGGCTCCTTTAAGCGCACTCGATCCGAACGACGACCAGGGGGTAGAGAGAAGTTCTCTGCCTCCCTCCGGGCGTTCCCGGACGTCAGGGTGACCGACGCACCTTGCGCTATCGATCCTCGCTTCGACCGGCCAAGATAACAGGGGTGGAGTGTTCTCCGCCTCTGGTCAGGAGTTTCTGGCGGCCAGCTGAACGCTCTCCATTCAAATTCCAGCTGCGCACCTACCGCACCGGTACTCGCGGTTCGCGACTGCACGCCAGCACAGCGCCGCGATTGGCTGGATACCTCGCCGCGAGACCAGTCGCCGTATCGCACCCGCTCGCCGAATTCCTAGGGCGCGCCAGGGCCCACCGCACGGGCCCACGACTCACACGGCGCGCCCAAGCATCGCATTCCGCCTCGCCTTACCGTCTCCTTGTATATGTATATGTTTTCTCTCGCGAATCTTACGTTCAGGCTTGCGTTGCCGTTTCATTGTATATATATATATATATTTCCTTTCGCGGATCGCGCAGCCCGACCTGCGCTACCGCTGCCCTACGTATATAGTTATTGCGTGTAAATTGTTTCGAGTTAATAAAGGTTCAGTGTTTTGTTAATTGCCAGCCTGTATAGTTATTGTAAGTGCCTTCTTCTCCAATACGAACCTCTCACGTTCCCGACCGAATTAACCGACGAGCTACGTCCGCGCAACGGGAGTTAGGTTGTTTCAGCTTTGTTGCTAAAAGGTAGTTCTAGAATATTCTAGATTTCGTGAAGATCACCCTTCCTTGTTAAATTGTCATCACTTTGCACGCTGTATATATACACACAAAACATTAGTAAAACGGCTATTCTAATTCTCGATACCGCAGGGCAGGCGCGCGCGCGCTACGTAAAACGCGTCTTTCGTCGCGCTTCAATCGTCAGTGCTGAATTTCCATCGCGCATGACAACGAAACTTAACTTAGCGCCGTAAAATCAAAATCGCCAATCGCAACCAAAATCACGAGGTCACCTAAAAAATTCGGATTTTTGAGGGATCCCATAGGCGACTGACGAAAGGACCCCCTTTTTCGTCAAGTCAATAAAAGGCCGAATCAGGCTGCGCCTCTTCCTTAGTCAACCGCCTTCGAGACTGTTCGATATCCGTATCGCTCCGCCGGAAAAACCGCCGAAAGTAAAAAAAGAGGCATTCTCCTAAAACTTGGGAAATGTCTTTCTTGCGTATCTGAAAGTAGTATTGCGAGTTCGTAATTTCAATCTAATTCCTGTTTCGTTTACGTCTGAAATTGTAAGAAACTGTGATTTGTGAAAATTAAAGATTGTTCCTTGTTTCTAGTGAAATTCGCGTTGAAGTTTTTTTTGTACTTGTGACTTTCCATTCCGTTCAAACGTTCTCTCTCGTTCTCTCAAACAATAATCGTTTAATATGAAATATAGATGTTCGAAATATGTGGACCAGAAAATATGTCTTAGAAATTGCGATCTTTGAATTTTCTTCAAGATCTTTTGGAGATCCACATATTTATATTATAAATATAAATATAAATATATAAATAATATCTCTATCAAGCCATATATTTCATTTTTAGTAGAATAGGAGACTGGAGAAACCACTTAAAAAAAAACGCATCTTACAGTAGTACTCCTCGGGTGATGTGGAAACTTATTTTCAAAATATATATTATCATAATTATGTTAGCTATTAGAAAATTACATTAAGATATAAGAATATCATTATGGAACATAATGAATAAATTAACAATAGATAATTTAATGTTAATAAAGAGAAATTACTTAATAAAAAAAACATTCCAATAATGATTTGGCGGAAAGTACGCTCCCAGTAGTTCCACGATATAGAGACGCTCCTGAATCATAGCGCCGCACGCGCGATCTGCGGTTAGACCGCTGAGGTCGCCGAGCATCGAGCGGTAGTGGGAGGATAGGAGGCGGTGCCTGCAGGAATTAGAGATACTATAACCACAGTATAAGTATAACCAGTAGCGGC